ACATATATCAACTACAAACAACTGATTTCTAACAATGTTTTTTTTTTTCTTTTCTTTTTTGTATAAATTTGAAATGTTTCTTCAATTAAATATTTATTATACAGTGGGTAATCAATTAACAAACATAATCTGTTCCAAGACCGTGTTCGCTACCCGAATTATTCATTAACCAATTACTGATTACTATAGATTTTTATGGAAATTTAATTCATACTGGACACTCCAAAGATAAATAAAACTTTATATACTTTCTTACTATGTTTATATATATGTAATAATAAAAATACATACATACGTACATACATACGTAGTCTTGCATTTTTATCGGTTATGTTTTTTTTCCGTTTGTGAGGCATTAAAGAATCTGTCGAATGTTGATTGCTTTTCTCTCTTCAGGATTTTTTGAAAGTAATTAATAGCATTGTCGTCGTAGAGATCTCGAAGCCTATTAACCTCAACTTGGTTTGGATGCCATTCTAAGACCGTTGTTCTGACCGTTTTTTTTTTTTTTTTTTTTTTTTTTTTTTTTTTTTTTTTTTTTTTTTTTTTTTTTTTTTTTTTTTTTTTTTTTTTTTTTTTTTTTTTTTTTTTTTTTTTTTTTTTTTTTTTTTTTTTTTTTTTTTTTTTTTTTTTTTTTTTTTTTTTTTTTTTTTTTTTTTTTTTTTTTTTTTTTTTTTTTTTTTTTTTTTTTTTTTTTTTTTTTTTTTTTTTTTTTTTTTTTTTTTTTTTTTTTTTTTTTTTTTTTTTTTTTTTTTTTTTTTTTTTTTTTTTTTTTTTTTTTTTTTTTTTTTTTTTTTTTTTTTTTTTTTTTTTTTTTTTTTTTTTTTTTTTTTTTTTTTTTTTTTTTTTTTTTTTTTTTTTTTTTTTTTTTTTTTTTTTTTTTTTTTTTTTTTTTTTTTTTTTTTTTTTTTTTTTTTTTTTTTTTTTTTTTTTTTTTTTTTTTTTTTTTTTTTTTTTTTTTTTTTTTTTTTTTTTTTTTTTTTTTTTTTTTTTTTTTTTTTTTTTTTTTTTTTTTTTTTTTTTTTTTTTTTTTTTTTTTTTTTTTTTTTTTTTTTTTTTTTTTTTTTTTTTTTTTTTTTTTTTTTTTTTTTTTTTTTTTTTTTTTTTTTTTTTTTTTTTTTTTTTTTTTTTTTTTTTTTTTTTTTTTTTTTTTTTTTTTTTTTTTTTTTTTTTTTTTTTTTTTTTTTTTTTTTTTTTTTTTTTTTTTTTTTTTTTTTTTTTTTTTTTTTTTTTTTTTTTTTTTTTTTTTTTTTTTTTTTTTTTTTTTTTTTTTTTTTTTTTTTTTTTTTTTTTTTTTTTTTTTTTTTTTTTTTTTTTTTTTTTTTTTTTTTTTTTTTTTTTTTTTTTTTTTTTTTTTTTTTTTTTTTTTTTTTTTTTTTTTTTTTTTTTTTTTTTTTTTTTTTTTTTTTTTTTTTTTTTTTTTTTTTTTTTTTTTTTTTTTTTTTTTTTTTTTTTTTTTTTTTTTTTTTTTTTTTTTTTTTTTTTTTTTTTTTTTTTTTTTTTTTTTTTTTTTTTTTTTTTTTTTTTTTTTTTTTTTTTTTTTTTTTTTTTTTTTTTTTTTTTTTTTTTTTTTTTTTTTTTTTTTTTTTTTTTTTTTTTTTTTTTTTTTTTTTTTTTTTTTTTTTTTTTTTTTTTTTTTTTTTTTTTTTTTTTTTTTTTTTTTTTTTTTTTTTTTTTTTTTTTTTTTTTTTTTTTTTTTTTTTNTTCTGATGTTGCCGAATGTTTTTCCCTTATTCCATACTTGCTTTATTCTTCATAAGTGCTTAGCACCATATAAGGAAATTTATAAAGACCTTTTAACTAGAAGCAAGCAATCTAAAATTACATACATTTTGCAAAAGGTGAAGCATGGATCTGAAGATAATGCAGAAAAATGCTCAGAAAATAAGGATAACTTGCCAAAAAGAAAACGCTCTCAGTTAATTAATAGTGTTTTTAGTGATGACGAAGAAAACATTGTTTAATTTATATTAATATGTATCACTTTAAAAAATTTTAATGAAGATATTTATTTTAATTATGAAAATATACTAGCATGTTTTTTAATTTTTGGAACCTAACTCTCCTTTTTTGTATTAGTTTTTTGTTTCGTATAACACGGATTCGCATAACATGGCAATTTTTTGGAACGTAACTACCGTGTTATACGGGGGTTACCTGTACTCTCATAAGTCATAATTTTTTGCCATGCCTATGTCCAACACTAAACTAGTTTCTTTTGATTAAAATGGAATATTACAAAGTGGATGTTTTAACTTGCTAATAAATTTAGTTCAAGTAAGACTGTTTTGTGGGATAAAAGTTTAGAAGAATATAAATTTTAAAACCTTAACAGTAAATTGGTGGAATTGAATTCACATTTTAGAATTTTGATGAAATGAATGAGCAACCTTTTCTGGATGTGGGCCACATGCAGATATTTTAGGCTTTCAACAATCTACATACATTTTTTTCTTATGGACATGCATGCTTTAAGTCTGCTAGGTGCCAACATACTCCATAACTTCGGTACACTGTGTGCTAAAATGATATATACTAATGATATGAAAATTAGTAATACTACGTATATCATTTATTCTCATCTTTTCACTTGTTAGGTTTAATTTGAATGTTCTTTGTCCTAAATATCAGTTTAATTAGGGTTGTGTAACAAGGCAATAATGGGGAAAATAAAGTTATGTTGCCAGTTAAAAGTACCACAAATAATGACATCTGAGACCACATATTTCTTGTGACTGAAGTAAAGTATTGTACAAACAACTCAATAATTCATCAAATGTTGGCTCAGATATGAAAATAATTAAAAAGTTTAGAATCATCTTGCCTTATCTTATTAATTAAAGTAGAAAAGCTCTCACCAAACTTCTCTCTATATGTACCAGATGTACAGTACTAAATGAACTATTTGATAGTCTTGGCAAATGAGTGAGTCAATTCAATGAATCAAATCAATAGTATTCAGTGAGTCAACTCTTGATATTCAGCTGTTTCAAAACTTCAACTCAGTTTTAGTGTTTTGCTCTCTTGGACTGAAACTTTCTATTAATAAGCTTAGCATGTTCCTGTAAGTTATTAAATCTTAATTTACCTTATAAAGATAGCTGAGTATTTCGGTCATGGGTCCAAGCGAGGCGCAAACCCATGACCAAACTCCCAGTGTTCAAGGTACGAAGACTGCTTGGCCACTGGTGGGCCACTAGTAATTCAACCTAGTTTTTGTAATATTGGTTGGTTAGATGGCTGCATGGTGAGTTTCTGCTAGGGGAATCCAGGTTCAAATTGCCTAAGCTTCCATAATTTATCATAGAAATAAGAAGGCAATATTCTCCATCCTCACCCATAAATTATAGTTATTAAGTTGTAGCCAGCTATACAGTCTACAACATTCTATTACGTCATGTTAATTAATTAATCCATACAACTTATGGCATTGATTTCATTATAAAATGTTTCAATATTTTATTATTGTAGATTACTTTTAAATTAAAGTTTATTTTTCTTTCATAACTCTCTTATATGGAACACATGTTCAGTTTTTACCAACACATATTCTTGTTCAATTTTACATACTAAGTTGCTTGAAATAGACTTAGTACAGATTTATGTATAACATCTTTTTCACTTATAATGTTTGGAAAACAATATTCAGAGAAATTTGAGGCACATATTTAGCATATATACAGGTGTTAACAATTTTAGAAAAGTAATTGCTATCTTTGAAGAAAATTTTTCCAAGATTTTCCAAATTTTTGAGTTTGCCCCTTTGGGTTCTTTTGGATCTGCCTCTGAAAAATTCTAACTTTAATTTAGCAAAATTTAATAAATTTATATTATTCGCATAAACATTTCGTTTATTTTTATTCCATTTTTTCAATTAAACGCTAAAATACTTTTAGCTTTTAACATTAAATGGTAGTACTGTACATTTAAACTTACAAAAATAATTCGTATTTTGAAAGGATTAAATTGAATTGATGAGATAAGATAATACAACAGATGGGAGATTTGCCAAGAGGGGTCTCCAGTGAGGACTTTTATATGGAAACCGGCTTCTATTTAGGTGTTAGTCATGGGAAGGAAAACCGGAAAACGCGGTCAAGCGCAAAACCAGGGATTATCTACCAGTATTTAGTGGTGTACCCATTCTGCCCCTGGTGGAACGGTTTTGAAAGAAATCGAAGAATTGCGATCATCATACTTTGAGTTAATTTTTTCCCGACTGCTTCAATCACGAGATAAAATCGGAATGAAAGATTGAATGCCAATATACAAGTTCAAATAAGACATAAAAACAGCCAAATCTTAAACATTTATTTGAGTCTGTGTATCGGATCAGCCTTAAATGCAAATTCTAAAAATTTTCTGTAAAAAAGCAATTTTCTAGAAAAAGAATAAATATTGTTTCTCGAAATTGAAATTGGAGATTTTTAAAAGGCAAAATTATTGAAATGTATTATATCAAAACAAATCGTGTAAAAAAAAAGAACTGGGTTTTTTCCAGGCCGTATTAAATCAAAATCGTATTTTAAAAATCCATTTAAAACAATTGGATGTATATAAAACATGCTACACAGTAAAGGCGAGTAAAAACAAATCATTCTGGTATAAGAACTTTGATTAATTAAAAACACTATTGCTATCCATAGGACGGAAATCGTGAAAAAACTAAGTGTTCGCTGTGCGTTTACGTTATATTTTGTATAGATGGCCAGATAGCCGAGTCATTAAAGGCTTGCCGGTTTCTGACCTTAAACCATTCCTGAAAAATTTCTTCTATTCCAGATATGTCGGGTACCGTCTTTTACCGCCGACCGTTCAATTGTCCTGTAAAAAAAGCCTTCAGAAAGGAAAGAGTTAAAAATTTATAAAAAATCATACTTTTTACATTTATACAATTTACGTTAATAAAAATATTTTTATTTAAAAATATATATGTGATACGGAATTTAAAAAAAAATTGATTAATGAAGATATTTTCTTTATTCGTTTGTCTTCTGCAGAGGGCGCAACGTAAGAAACGGGGAGAAATCGTTTGGTTGTTGATTTAATTAGTTAAAAGTTTTTAATAATAGTAATAATTGTTTATCTTTTTATTCGTTAAAAAATCAACATGAGTGGTGGAGTTTATGGTGGAGGTAAGTAAAATTATTATTATTATTATAACTAGAACAAATCCAACATAAACTGTCATCTTAGAAAGAAGCAACTGGGTGAATATCATATTTAATTTTTGTCTTTTTTATTAAATCAATACAAATTAAACGAAATATATGTTTCACTTTATACTAAATTGAGAAAAGAATTAACATCCCAAATTCTTCTATATTCTAACAAATCAACTGTACAGAAAACAACTGAAATTGTATTGGAGTTGAAAGCTGCAAAAACAAACTTTCAAAGGAGAAACAGATACTTTTCATCAAGGAGAGAAACAAAACATATACAATTGAAGCTGATGGCTAGATGGTTGATGTGGTAAAGCCACTAGCCAGCTGCTCTGGGAATCCAGGCTTCAGGCCAAATCAGCTTTGAAATTTTTCATGGGTGAAGTGACTGGGATACATCTGTCGCCTCTGGATGGATATGATTATAAAAGCTGTCTTAGTGCTGCAGAGCAGAGACCAAAAAAAAAAATGTAATTGAAACCTGTTCCATTTTAAGATTCATTTTTACATGCAAATGAAAATGGATTTAAAGCAATTTTATCTTTTTTCTTTCCATTTATGTTAGCCTAATGCATCATGTTGGTTTAAAAAATTGATCTTGCTTTTTTGTCTAACAGCAAAAAAAGACAAAAAAAAGCAAGATCAGTTTTTAACATGTCTAATTTTAATGTCTAACATATGCTGTTCAATACTAAACATAATTCCATTTTTATTCATCTATTTTATATGAACATAACCATCTTGGCATTCTTAATTTTTGTCAATAATTGTTACATCTCCAATATCTTTCAAATCATTTCATTTCATATTCTTTGTTAAATTTTTTCAAAAAAAGAAAATATTAATTTATATTTTATAGGTATTAACTAATTATTAACTGAAATTGTTTATTATAACATGTACACCTTATGTTGCTGAGAACTTACTTTACTGCTTTAAACAAACATTTGTTTAAAGCAGTAAAGTAAATTCTTGTTTGCTTATACCACCTTTAACAACAGTTAGCATAATTGAAGTAAGGAATGCCAATAATTGAAACATTATATTTCAAGCAAATAACAATTAAAATTAATAATGTTTAAAGCACTGGTTAACACTGATGATGATGATAAAGATTGCAGATTATTAGTCATATGTAGAGAATTTGAACTTGCATGAATGTCATTTTGTTACCATATCATCATCACTGTCTCTAGCACCATATTTGTGCTATGCTGTTCATAGAAGTGTATATAGTTTGGTTTGTATCTGAACATTTATTTTGTGTAGAAGATAGCAAAACATGCATTTTTACCAGGTTATTTAGCAACTCTTGCTGCTCAAGATGCTGACTGGTACAAAAGTAAAATTTTAATGTGTGGTGGAGTTGATCTGTATGAAGATGACTCAAATTCATTTGTAGAGGATCATAGTTCATGACTGAAGGTAAAATATGGTAACACCTTGTCTTAATAACTCAGTTTTTAACTCTTCATCACACTAAAGTGTACAAATCACTTGAAGCTCATAATTTTATAACAAGTGGTTGGTCCAATTCAGAGATTGTTATATCATTATATAGTACTCACTAAAAATGTATGTTTTATTGACCATTGCACAACATCACTCTTCTAAGTGAAGTGTAGTAATTTTTTTGTTTGTAATTGTCAGATTTGTTTTATTCTGTTTTAAAAATTTTTTATACCATATCACTTCATTAGGTTAACCACTCAAAGTTTACTCCTTCCCCCATGTAAAATTTGGTAACTCTGTCATATATCAGGTGGCATTATAATGGAATGGAGACATTACAAATATGGTGCCAACCAAAATATGTGTGTGCAATTATGTACATTTGGCACTCTAATACATTTGCATCAAATTCAAATCACATGCAAATTGTCTATTGAAACTGATAATGTAAAAAGAAAAAGAACTTGAAAAAGTCTATTTACCAGGAGTTATTTGTCACTCATCAGATAAGGGTTTATGATGCACCCATCATATTCAAAACAAATTTTTTTTTTTTTTGTTTTTTTCTTTTTTAAGGAAGGGGGAAAAAATTATTATTTTGAATCTGATGGGTGCATCATAAATTATTTGATATTCCAAAATAGAACATTATTTTATATTAGGGTTGATGGTAAATTTGAAGTAGGTATATAAATCAGGCCAAAAAGATTTGTTTGTTCCATCAATAAACATTTTACTGGAAAAAGGAAAAGGTTATAGTTTTTTGATATTTGCAAGTGGTTCCAGTTTAGTTTTACATTTTCTTGTTCATCAGCCATTAATTAATGAAAAGTTCATACACTTATGTTTTCATATATACCTCCAATGTTTTGATTCTTTAATAAAGTTGTGTAAAATTATTTTATCTAGTCTAATATAGTTATTTTTATTTTTTACTGTATGTACGGTATGTATTTTAGTGATGTATAGCCTATTGTTATATGCAGGACTATGGTGTTTGAGTATGTAAAAGTTATCAGCTCCGACTTCAACCTTGATATAAAATGTAGGTTATAATTTTAAAATTAGTGTAATAATTCATATGATGATGAAATGTCATATAGTGCCATTTAAAAACTGAGGAGTTGGAGCTGATGTTTTTGTGTACTGACTCCAGTCTTGGTTGTATGTTGTATGATCTTACTTGCAATTTTTTTTACTTGTGGAAATTAATAATAATAATTATTGCAGGATTAATAGAAAACAGTATTAAATAGTATTACAAATTATTAAATAATGATTTATAATTTACTTAATATATGTAACATTTAAAATCTCATTATGAAGATCTTTTTCTTGTCAATACTATCTATTATTCCTAATTCTATGACAACAAATAACAAGTTAATGGTTGAGTCAGTCAGTTTCTTATCATTGTCAGTAAATCACTTTATTTTTTATATTTCTTTAATAACACTGTGTTTATCCTCTAGTATAACTATCTAATATTTATACAAACAATTTAAATTTAACATATTAATTGCCTAATTATTTTGCAATTCTCTATAATTGCAAAATTCTTCAGTTTTTTCCATAAGATTATATTTTGTCTAGACTATATTTTTGTCTTATTATGTCATAAGCAACTGATCCTAACTTTCAAATAACTTTGAAGTCATCTTTCTAAATATGGAAAATTAAACTATTTTGTACATTGTTTAGACAATATGTGTGTATAAAGTTAGTGTCTCTTATCTTCCTTTTTGAACATGAGAGAACAGTATTTTTAACTATTCTGTTTGTTGATCATTTTGTAGCATTTGGACTATTTCCACACATTCAGTAGCTATAAAATGAGTAATTAGATAAATTATTGATTTAATTTTATTTTAGTCATTCACTGCATTAGCCAATTGTTGAATGAGAGTCTGAATTAGATGAGAATTTTTTGATGAAAGTTTTTAAGGCAATAGCTAGCTATTGGGAATATATTTTATGGAGCCAATGATATAGTGAAAAATTATTCTTTCTAGAATAGATATTAGGTTATATTGTATTATCACTTTTTTTAACTTGGCATATCTTTTACATATTTTTTGTCTTTTTAAAATAACCTTAGGAATCATATTTGTTTTTATTATTTTTCTCTCTATTCTCACAAGATAATTGCAATTATATGTTGTACCACTTTGGTCATTACATAAAAAACTGATGGAATCAGGTTAAAAAGTAAAGCTCAGCAAAAACATTTAAATAACTTTTGAAAGTTGTGGCATAAGTATACTTGAAGTAGATTTGACAGTAAGACTCAACATGTGACTCATATTATAGATACTACAACTACAGGAAGTTTTGGATATAGCAATGTTACCATGATAATAAACTGGAAAAATAAACATCATCACAGAAAAAGGCTTTGAGCTTTATTTTATGCTTCAAACTTCCTTCATTGATACTGTTCAAATATATTCTAATGTTCAGCCAAATTAATGTAGGTAATTAATAACTTTAAGGCACAAAGTTATTGCACCTACCTAAGGTGTGTCCAGGTGTTGTGGCAGTCTAAATTTTTCTCAGGGTCCCGGAGAATAAATATGAAAAATTTGGTGCAGATTGACCAAAAAGCTTAGAACAGAGAGAGACAAACATTCTTTCATTTATATAGACAAAATCTAGATCTATATACAGTGGTAGATAAGAGGTCTCAAAACACTTTAAGTCAAATTTGACATAATTTCAATACTTTCCCTTGTTATGTTTACATAACAGCTGGGAAAGTAAAATGGGACATTATTTTATAAATATTCTATTTTTAAATCATTAGGCTTGTATTAATTAATAACTTATATTAATATTTTAAATTTTATCCATAATTGCAGTTATTTTGTGAGAATAGAGAGAAAAATAATAAAAACAAATATGATTCCTAAGGTTATTTTAAGTCAAAAACTAACCTAGAAAGTACATTTGTACCTAGGAGATATTGATATCTACTATAGAACATTACTGCACTCTAAGATAAATAATGGGAATTAGAAATAGTAGATCTTTTATAATTTTTTAATTTTTATGACTTTTCAAATATAAAAATTTAATATACCATATTTACTCGCATATAAGACGAGGTTTTTATTCATTTATCACAGCTACAAATTCCTAGGTCGTCCTATACAAGCAAAACATTCTTTGCGTTTTTGAAAATAATTTTTGTGTACCGTGTATTTGCATTTTTTACTGGATACTTACTCTCTTGTATTTAAAAACATAAGTATTTTATCTAGGTTGTTTGAATTGTTCTTGTATATTGTCAGGAGTAAAGATGAATAGCAGTAGTAAAAGCAAAGCTTTTGAATTGAATTCCAGATTGAAATTCCCACGTGAAAATGGATGATTATTCGGAAGTCATAATTCAGAGAAACTCGTAAGTGTAATTGACAGAGAATGGATTAGACTGTTAAGAATTGGCAAAAAAGGTTCCCAATTGTTCAACTTTACATGAATAAATTATATTGTCGATTTTACAAGATTTTTTTAAAGTTTTTAAAATGCTAGTAATTTTTGCAGGACAATGTGTGCATTTACATTCATTTGATATTTTACATGTGATTAAATGAAATAAAATTAGAATTGTATTAATAAATCTAATTTTTCTTTATTTTGATCTTTGAAGTTACACCTCGTCCTATATGCAAGGTTATCTTATATTCAAGTAAATACGGTATATGACATTTGATATAGTTTATCAATCATATTAATGTTATACAAGTACTGTACATTAAACTGCAGAAGGTAAATATGCATGGTCATTCCTCAACAGTTTTTGAGGTTTCGAAAAGAAGGTTATTTTATGTATATTAGTAAAATTGAGGAACTGGTTAATAATTCCTGTGCTTTTTTGATTAAAATAAGCTTCTAAGAGTGAACAAAATCGTGCTGCGCACACTAACATCCATACACACACAAATTATTCCCTGAATTGTTTTGCATTTCTCAATGTTTCAAGGTCCTCTGAGTTCAAAAATGTAAAAATATGAGGGATCATTTTTGACCAGTCACCATATTATCTCTCTGTTATATATAACAGCTGGAAAAGTAAAAATGAGCTGTCTAATAAAGATATTGTGATTAGTAAACAAATTTAATTATTTATGCATTACATAGACTAAATATACAAATGACATCACTACACTTTGATGCTTAATAACTTGCTAATTAAGCCTCACAAGTTTGTTATTAGATAAAACATCCCTTGAACATTTCCAAAACACACTATACAGTATATGTAATGATATGATATTACAGTGATGAGAACTATTTCACACTAAGAGTCTGGAAGTGATAAGTTTTAGTATGCATATTAAGTTAAATAAAATTTATTTTTCAGATGAAGTTGGAGCACTTGTTTTTGACATTGGGAATTATTCCATACGAGCTGGATATGCAGGAGAAGATTCTCCAAAAGTAAAGAATTTTATTTTATTCTTAGGTTAAAATTAATGTGTTAAACTGTGATTAATATATTTTCATAAATCAAGGCTGAAATTCCAAGTATGATTGGCGTATCAGAAGAAATGATTATGGAACCAATGGAAATTGATGGTAATAATACTCAAAAGGAAATGATAACTAAAAAGAAGTACTTTATTGATACAACAAGCATTCATGTTGCTAGAAAAGGAATGGAAATAACAACATTTCTTAAAGATGGAATGAGTGAGTGATAAATTTTGATAATCATTTGATAGCTGTTTATAAATAAATTTGGGGCTTGTTTATAATATAATAATAGTAATAAACTGGTAGTATTAAACAACATTAATAAATAAGACGACAGTTAATGGAAAGTTTGGTTTTATTAACTTTTATATTAAAAGGTTATGTGAAACAATTAATTGATTACTTATTATAATTAGTATTATTAATCAATAGTAATTAATTCAGTAATGTTTGTTTACTGTTTGTATGCAGTACTATCTGTAACAATAGCTGGTATATAATTGAAGTAAAAAATTCCAGTAATTTAAACTGTTGTACTGTAGACAGATAACAAAGTTTTATAAGTATATTTTAACTTTGTTTTGTGACATGCTAATTCGATAATGTTAGAGGACTGATATTACAATAAGCAAATTTTTCTGTGTGTGTGTGTATATATATATATATAATAATAATAGAGAATACTAAAGTATAGGTGCTCTCCTATATATGAACAGGTTAGGTTCCTGAATTTTAAGTCAAAAACTAACCTAGAAAGTACATTTGTACACAGAATAACTATGTATTGTTAGTGTTTGATCCTTCAATGTATTTAATATCAATAGAATACATTATACTCATTTATCTGCTTGCTACTGCTTAGTACTAGGTGTTTCAAATGCAGTTTTTTCACCTAATGCATTTAGTTCTATAATATTAAGTTTAGTTTCCAAAGTAATTGAGTGACATTTGCATTTATCTCCAATGCTTGATTTACTATTACATTTTGGATACATTTTTTGAAGCACTAATTGTAAAAGTTGATAATTGTAAAAAGTTTAAATTGCAAACAATAGCAAAATTGTTACTCCAACATTGACTTTGTTACACCTCACCAGAGGTGATGAAACATCATTTGTGCAAATGGAAATGACAATATGCAATAAAAATAATTTCACAGTAATTATTTATTAAAAATTTATTATTTATTACTGGTCAAAGACTGACTTCAATGCCAACCCACAACTGGCAAAAGAACTTCAGAATTCAAACAAAATTTAAATTTTAGACATATAATCAAATTGTCTGTTAGTGTGAATGTTTGTAAGTAGGGAACCACTGTATTATTATTAACCATATATCTGTCGTTTAAAATATTATTTTAAATAACAAAAATAACTAGCTAAAACTTAATATCTTATTTCTCTTTGTAAACAGATTTTCAAAAATTAAATTATTACTTAGTACAATTTATTTTCAGTCTGGCATAAAATAAGATTTTAAAAACTTTATAAATATATTTTCCTAATTTATATACAAAAAAAAAAATTTCATTTTTCTCACAGAAAATTGATTAAATTTTTAAGTAAAACATATTGGTTTTCTTTGTTTCACTGTTTGTATGTAATAAAAGTTTATATAAAATATCAAGATCTTATAAAATACTGATCTTATAACACCATTATTTCTAATGCAAATTGATAAAATTCCAGTATATTAGTAAATATTTTTGAGGAAAAAGTTAGATTTCCTTTACAAATCAAATAAGTTTGAAAAGTTATCTAATAAACCATATAATAAACAAATTCAAAATTTTTGGTAAAATTTCCTTTATTTCAAAGTTCAGCTATTCATTTTGCAGCAGACTGTATTGAAAGTATCTGTTTGAGAGACATTGAGTATACTGGCTCCAATTATGAACTTTATTACCTTCAACAATTATTGATGGTTTTGAATAGACACAAGACAAATTACCAGATTCTATGATATTTTGCCAATTGAGCTAATTTTGATAATTGTGACAATTTTTATGTAAAATATTGCACTTTTCTTTATTTGTTTATTGAAAACTTTTATTTCTGACTCTATTTTCTGTCTACAGATTTCTCACATTAAAAGCTGAAGTGTTAAGCTTTACTTTTGTTTCTAATAAACCATCACATTTTTTAAATGTTTTGATAAATGTATGTGTTAGCTTTAGCTGATTTCTGACAACACTACCATGAGTATAACAGCTTGCAGTTCCATTATAAACCTTTTATAATGAAAATGTGAAGAAATTAAACAAGTGTCATACATTTTTATTTTTTTCTCTATTAGAAAAGTTTATTTCTAAATCAATTTTATACTTGTGAAGTTGTAACTGACCATTCGTTGTTGTTCTCCATGTATAGAAGTCTTCTTTAAATAAACATTCAACATATTATCCTGTGAAATTCATTAATTAGATATACAAACATCTTGACACCCGATATATAATCATATTTAAGTTGTTGAATTGTTAAACACAGACAAATAATTATCAGAACTTTCCTACATCATAACTTTTCCATTCTTAGATAGTTTTGAAGTAGACAAATAAAGATAAATTATAAGCTCCATATAAATTCATAAAATATTTAAGAGATTAATTATGATTGAATTGTTGCTTTTTATTTCATATATAATTGATAATCATATTATGGAAAATGCAAATTAATGGAACTTCATGAAATATTCAATTTTGTAGTTTATTTAAGAATAAAATTTAGAAGTTCAAAGGTTTTAACATTTTAAGAAATGCATACTTTATCTTTAAATTAAATAGTTTAATGATGATTAAAGGAAATTTTAGAATAAAAATTAATGTTAAGTAATTTTCACATTTCTAAGTATTTAAATATTTTTGAATATTGTAAAAAAGTCCATGTAATGTCAGAAATTTATTTTTAAAAATTATGATACATTGGCCTATGGTTAGTAGATTGTATATTTTATTTACATACATTTTCAATAATTTTTATTATGTTAATATTTTTAGTTGAAGATTGGGATCTGTTTGAAAAAGTTCAAGATTACATATACAATAAGCATATTAAATCTGAACCTCATCTCCATCCTGTGCTTATGTCTGAAGCTTCAGTAAGTACTTTTATTCTACATAGTAATTTTTTCATATATATTTTGGTATTTGTTTTATAAATTATTTGTTTGTAAAACATTACAGTGGAATACCAGAGCTAAAAGAGAGAAACTTACAGAATTGATGTTTGAGAAATATAATATACCAGCTTTCTTTCTTGTTAAAAATGCAGTTTTGGCAGCTTTTGCTAATGGACGTTCAACTGGAATTATTGTAGATAGTGGAGCAAGTCAAACTTCTGCAGTGCCAATTCATGATGGTTATGTGCTTACTCAAGGTAATGCATTCCCTTATTTCTGTTATTTTTGTGTTCAAATGTATTATGATTGTTGTGTAAGTTCAATTTGAATTCTATATTACAAGAATAATTATTATTCTTACTATATAATAAGAATTATTATTATTATATATTAAGAAATGATATGTGGACTATTTATTNTGCAACTAGAAGAAAAGAAAGATGGCGGAGAAGAAATCTTCGTATCCTTCCTCCGATACGGGAGGAGTGAAACCTATGAGCATCGAAGGCTATTTTAACACAGAAAGAAGAAGATTAGTTGAAAATTATACGGACGAGGAACGCGAGTGGAGAAAGAAATGGCTGAAAGATCAGGAATTGTCTGCAAACGAACCTCGTCGTGTACACGAGTTGGAACTTGAACTCAGGAATCCCATTCGTCGTTTTTATCGCAAACCCTGGGATATGATTTACGAAAAACTTGTTCCCGTCACGGTAATATGACATTTAACTTGTTTATTTGCAATCAAACACAATTAAACAACATTTAAACATATATTCCCGTAATAGAAATTTTTTCCGTTTCTTCTTATATTTCCCCACTGGTTATGTCTATAACGATATATTGCATTCGTAATTAATGAAACGTTGATTTTGGAGTATATTCGCAGATGTGAATGACACTGCTGAAACCTTAACAGAGCTCTAGACCGTGTCCATAGGAGCAAAAAGGTCAAAGGAACCATACCTCTACATGCATCCTGGTACTTCGCGATACAGTCCTCGAAATCAGCCCACTTCTGGGGTGCAATTGGGAGTCACACTGCATGCTCCACTATAAGACAGCTTGAGTAGCCCACTTGACTGTGGAGTACTTGATGTTATATAGTTTTGGGGGTGTGGGGCTTGCCCCACCCAGACGCTGAGGTGTGAGCGATAGCCAGCACCTAGGCGCACGTCTGTGTGCAAAGTGTGTAGAATGGGCAGTAGATTTATACCTGTTAAAAACTCGGAGATGAATATCGTGCCAAGGGTCGACGGTTCTTGGGTTCTTGCAAAATGCCTCGTTTGGAGAAAGTGACTGAAAGTGCCGCCATAGGGACTACCTAGATGCACATTTATCCTTGAGGTTATATAGTTTTATCCACAGAATTTTTTTTCCGGCCCTTTTTGAATTTAGGAAATTCAAAATGTCAAGATTTGCAAAAATCTTGGAGGGTCAAATTTGACACAATTTCAATACTTTCCCCATTGTGTATACATAGTAGTTGGGAAAGTAAAATGAAAAAGATTTCTGTGTGTGTGTGTTGCATCTATTTCATTTAGTATCTTGGGATTGGGTAATGATGAAGAAACAAAATTTGGCATGGTAACTTGTGAATAAGGGGGATTGATGCTATTAAATTTTGGTGTTTGAAGGTGGGGATATGGGGAGGTTATGTATCATATCTTGAATGAGGTTAGATTTAATGAAAATTTTACTCTTTATTAGTATTTACAATTTTTTTTTTTTTTTTTTACCGTACTGTACTATTCTTTAGTACATGGAAAACTACTANTCCTGTTGATGGCTGCATAGACAGCCAAAAAAGTTAGAAAAATTAAACATTTTTACTGGAACAGGCTGGATATCTTTTAAATTTACATTTTTTATGTTTATTGTACATACGTTGTTGTTAATTTTTGTAACTGACAATCAATGAGATGGATAAGCTAGATAATCCTTAGCAAGATTAGCAATATTCGGTTCAAAATTTGTAAGTTTTAGTCTTTTCATCGACCCCCCCCAATAATGTTATATCGACTCCTAGGGGTTGATATAGACCATTTTGGCTATATTTATAGACCCTGGTTTATTTTGAAAGTGGTGTAAGTACATTTTTTCTTCTTTCAAGATACTTAAACATTTGCATTTTAGTTGATTCAAAAATATAAATAAAGTGTACTAAGTTTTACAATGTTTCTATGACTTTAGAAATATGTAAGTTGATTGCATAAAGACTTCTATGTGAATTTAACTAAACTAATATATTCTTTCTGGGCCATAAATGGACTTACACCACTTTCATAGTTATTGAACTGTAAAATTCATTAAATTTCTATTATGTAAAAACTCAGTTTCATTTGAAACACATTGTTTTATTCTGATTTTGTTTATATATAATAACAAAAAATAAAATAGCATTGTTTATTCTGAACATTAAAAATATTTTCTTATTGTTAAACTAGTTTCTGAAAAATTTATCATTATTATGAGCTTACCATTAGACACTGCTTTTTATTTAGGTTCATTACATTGATTTTTTTCATTTTATCAAATTGTACATTTTTTGGTAAAATTGTAAGAGGCTGTCCATAAATGATGTCCATACTGGAAGGAAGGGGGGTATTAACTCTCTCCCTTAAGACAAGTTGGACAAGGGGGTTTAGAATTTAGTGGATGTCCATTTATTTCATTAAATTTTATACAGTTTATGCATTTTATTATATTTATTTCAAAGTTTCTTGTATGTTTCATTTTTACTTGCGGTATCTATATTCATAAAGTGATGAAGGTTTTAATGGAGGTTGAGTTATGTTGGACATCCAAGGAGGAAGGGTTACAAAAACTTGAACAAACTGGGACAAAAGGAGGTGAGTAAAAATTTCAAGAAAAATGCAGATGTAATTTATGGTCAGTCCAAGTGCTTAATTAGACTGCAGAAAATGGTCTTACACCACTTTCATAAAAATGTATGGTTATTTCAAAATACTAAGTGTGAATTGTTTATAAATAAAAAGTTCACACTAAATTCTATTTTATATTATGTGATTTCTCAATTTTTTCCAAAAAATGGACTTACACCACTTTCAAAATAAATGGTCCATACAGTAATAAGAAATATTAAGAAATAAGTTCAATAATATATAATAATAATTATTCTTGTAATATATAGGGTGTCTCAAAAGTCACTATCTATTTGGAAAAATAATTGGAATTATGAAAAACTAGTTTAAACAAGAAAAGAAGAAATATATTTATTTCAAAGTTTATGCTGCAAAAAATTAGTGCTCTGTGTGATGACAGTCAATGTCTGTGCAGAACTCAAAGCAATAAGCTGCATCCTGAACACACTTTCCAGCTTAATAATTCATGATTAGCTTTGTCTGAATTCACCCAATTCATAAATAACATTTCTTATGCAATTTCCTCTCAGAATTGTGTCTAATTTTCTCATATTTCAACCTTTTATTTTGCATGTTACCACAAATACTCATTCTTCCATGCTCATCATCAGTGACATGGATCTGAATGAAAAATCTAACAAAATTATAATTATTAAATTTAGAAAGAGATGATGTCTAATGTCTGCCTCTAGTACCAAATTACTTAGCATTTAATTAATAATAGTAGTGGTAATATAGCCTAATATAATTCAACAGTCATTTGGCTTTAATGTATAATTATCGGGTTTTGATATTTAGGTTATATTAACAATTACACAAAATTTGATGGAAACCAATTAACATTTTGTAAATACACAAATTTATAAACTAAAGATAAATATCTTTACGATGATAGAATTTATTAAAAAACATGTAATGTCATTGAAAGAGCGAGAGTAACTTTTGAGACACCTTGTATAATTCAAAATTGGCATTAGCAATTTTATACAGCTACAGCTTTTCAATTAATTTTTTTTTTACCCTGAAGAAGATAAGATAATACGAAAGTTTATTACAAATACTTTAGTGTTTCTTTAATGAATTTGCATTCTTTTATGTTTTAAAAACTTTTTTGTTTTAGAAATAGTGAATCTAGCTGTCTATTCTGTAAGAAGAATTTTATATATATAAATGTTTTAATTTTAATATTACTTATAAATTTTAAATTGTATGCTGAATATTTTAGAAATTCAACCTAAAATCTAAATCTATTTTGAAAATTAAAATTGCTTAAAATTAACATGTTTGAGTGATATTTAAAAATATCAATTATTATTATTTCTAAAATTATTGATAGCTATAGTAAAATCACCATTAGCTGGTGACTTCATTACTATGCAATGCAAACAATTTTTGGAAGAAAGTCAGATTGAAGTAATTCCACCTTACATGATTTCATCAAAAGTGAGTTTTATTTCCTAAACATTGTTAGTTATTATATATCTTTATTATATATAACTTTGTTTTAGTATGTAATTAAATCTTACAATTTAATATAAATGATTTGTAATAGTCTTTAAATTTTAGAATAAAATCTTACACAATTGTGATTGTTTTGTGTAAAGTAGATTGAGCTATTTAATAAAGGAAACAATGCCCCTTTAACAGTTTGTAATAGTTGGGAGAAATGCAAATGTTTTTGATTAGTCAATGGACCATCTTCGGAGTAGGTCTACATCATCTCTAGTTTCACATATTCCAAAACTCTATAACCTCTTTTCAGATGTATTACCTGTAATAACAGGAAATGTATGACACTTTGGTGCAATCCAACTATTAGTTACTACACAATCATAAAGACTCCCTGGATGATGAAGAGGTGAAATATATGTTATTCCAGCCAAAAATGAAAAAAATTGGCATCAATACAGCATGTGCTTGTTTTTCATGTAGGTCTCTCAACCAGAGCTCATTGAACTCAAGGACATCATCAATAGTAGAGGAACCATATTTTTTTTATCTTTATTCACTAAACATTCTGGAACTGAATTAGATTAACAGACATCCAAAGTCATCAAAAAATATCCTTCACCTCTTTCACACTAATTAATAGAAAGCTGTGAAATCTTAAAGAACATCTTTATTAACATGGACCTGTTTAAGAAAGACTTACCTACCCTCCTGTCTGGCATTTTCTCCTTAATCTTTCACATCATGTGCTGATGTAATAGTCTACTATTACTAGTTTGTTTACCTATTATATCTTTCTAATCACATGGTTTTTTTTTTCTTTCATCCTGAATAAATACCTTTAACTGGGTTGAAAACACATATTTTTCCAAATTGTTACCTATTGTTAAAGATGTATTATTTGCTTTATTTTATCTTTATGTTAAATATAGGAATTATTTTTTCTTGAATGATATTATAAAGATATTTTTATAATTTCATAAAGGAAGTTGTTAAAGAATCTGAAACTGCTAAATGGCTTAGAAAGAATAATATACCAGAAGTGACTAAATCATGGCATAATTATATGGTGAAGGTAAGATTATAAAAATAAAAATTTTTATATTAATAAAATGTTATAGCTCATTGACATTGCTATTTTAGGAAGTAATACAAGATTTTCAAAGTTCAATTTTACAAGTTTATGATTCTCCATATGAAAAAGAGTATGTTTTTATTTTTTAGCATACTATAATAATATATCATTTATTCTTTTTTCAAATTAAATTAACAATGAAAGTGTGGTTTTATTTTTTATCTACTTAATAGGTCTGTTGATAATATGCCAACAGTTCATTATGAATTTCCAAATGGTTACAATCAAGATTTTGGTTCTGAGAGGTTTTTAATACCTGAAGCTCTGTTTGATCCTACAAATATAAAGGTAAAAGATAAATTACAATCAAATTAAAAATGTGATAATTCTTATTCTAAATTTTTAAACTTTGTTAGGGTGTGCCTGGCACAACCATGATGGGAGCAGCTCAAGTAGTTACAACAAGTGTAGGAATGTGTGACATAGATGTTAGACCAGTGAGTTAAATAATCTAACATTAAAAAATTTATTTTTAATGGTTTAAATGGCCACAATTAAATTTTCATTTATAGTGAATGACATTTCATTAAGCATGATAAATTATTTTAATAAAAATGAGCCATAATATCCTTCATAAAATTCCTATTATTATAATAAATTAATTTAAAAAGAATTTATAAAATATATAAGAATACAATCTAAGTATTAAGTGCTGTTATTATTTTAAATAGAGTTTATATGGAAGTGTCATTGTGACTGGTGGAAATACTTTGATACAAGGATTCACTGAAAGATTAAATAGAGATCTTTCAAATAAAACTCCACCAGTAAGTCCAAAGTAATCTTATTTAATTCTCATAATCGTATTTTTTTAAGTATTAAATAAATGAAACAATTGCAGAGCATGAGGCTAAAAGTTATAAGTGCTAATGGCACTGCAGAAAGAAGGTTTGGAGCATGGATTGGCGGTTCCATATTGGCCTCATTGGTAAGAATTTTAATGGATCATTAAAATTAATTTTATTCATTCAAAAGTAGCATAAACTAGAATTAAAAAATATTCACTTTCATTATAAAGTATTTTACAGTTAAAAGTTGTAAATGTCTTAAATTTATATTTTCTGTATAAAAATAAATTATTGCATAGAAAATTAAGAATATATGAATGAAAATTTATTGTTTTTCAGGGAACTTTTCAGCAAATGTGGATTTCAAAACAAGAATATGATGAGGGCGGTAAAACTCAAGTAGAAAGAAAATGTCCTTGAAATGTGCTGTTTATACATTTAATATTATTGTCACTTCAAAGTCATTATCATTGTCATCATCATCATCACCATTATCATAATCATGACATCATTAAATCCTCTATTTCATTTCATCTCATAATTTTAAAAATTTCATTATGAGAATAAGGAAAGTGGAATATTGTATAACAATTTTTTTATGTTTGAATAAAATGATAAAACTGAATTTTTGTTTTTGTATAAACAGTTTTATGCTATAAATTATTATGTATAATTAAAACTAGTTGATTATCTATACCAATAAGTCAATGATTTTGTTGCAGAGTGTATTTTACATAATTCTAAAAGAAGCTTCCAAAACTTCAAAATAATACATCAAAAAAATCACAGAAGTCATATTTTATTAGAGGATTATATATTAATAAACATTCAGACCTGAGTTCTTTACTCAACTTTAGGAATATAAAGTTAATATAAACTTTAAAATATCACAGCAGAGTTGAAAAAGTTCAAAGAATTTTTAAAATTGTTTTAAGCTTTATGATTTTATTCTTGTTCTATTTGATTGACGAAAACACCTTATAAAGTTTTATCTTTTTGAGTCTTGTAGTATTTTAGTGTTTTTGAAGCATTCCTGAAGATGAATGAAGAACTTAAAATTTAGGCTGAATGTACAGTGCATTTCAGAAAGACTTATATCTCTAGTCTTAATAGATATAGAAGCTTATATCTCTAGTCTTAATAGATATAGAAGCTTATATCTCTAGTCTTAATAGATATAGAAGTTTGATATCTCGAAATAATATTTTTCAAGATATCAAACTGTGTTTCTAATTTTGTAACTTTAAAATTTCAAGTGGTAACTTGTAGCATGTTTTTTTTTTTTAAGAATTTTTAATGCTGAATTTAATATTGCAGTTAGATTATCTAATTGAAATGTCAAATTTAACATTAAAAATATATTAATAAAAGGACTAAGAATAAAGAATGGCTAAAGTTAGTCCATTGGGAATTTTTTTTTGTAAATTTCTAAGTTCATTAAAAATATATTTTGTATCTATCTATTAAATTACTTTTATTTGTAAATTCTATAAATGATTTTTTGTAAATATTTTCTGTCAGTTGTTTTAAAATTTGTTCTACAGTAATTTAAGTCTTTATTATTTTATTTGAATATATTTTTATAATTAAAACTAGTTTATTTTAATTATTCATAATGATAATATATTAGAATATTTTATCAAGCTATTAGAACTTCTAAAATATGTAAAAAACAAACTTTATCAAACTTTATATATTTCCTTCATGATTTTTTAAAACATATATAAAGTCTGATTGTATATATTTGTGTATATGTTACTGTGAATGTCCGAAATGGGAGGAATGTCAACATTCTCTGGTAAATGTCAACATTCACACATTTGTATGTGTTGACATTCACCGGCAAATGTCCACATTCACAAATATTGGTCTTTCACAGTAACATACTTATATATACAATAGAATCCCAATTAATCAAGATCCATTTAACCATTATTAGAGGCAAATTGTGGAAGAGTACTGTGTTTATAAACACATGGTAATATAATTCAGCACAATTCATTTCCCAAATCTTGGTTGGGTAGCGAAGATTTATCAAATATCAAACTCCTATGTATTTATTGAAAAAGATTAGAAAAGGACTCTAGAAGTTTCAAAAATAAATTATTCTGAGTACTTTTCACAAACAATATTAATTTTGAAGGATTAGAGAAATTTGTAATCTTATATTTGCTTTAATAAAAATATAGCTGTAAATAAAATTAAGGTTTATTTTATTATATAATTTAAAAGTCATTACAGTTAATAAATAGGTTTAACTTAGCATATATTGTACATGTTAGTGCATTCAAATCCAGTTCATTTAATAAATTATGAAACATTCTGTATTATCTGAGTTTGATTATCTTCATGTATTTTTGAGTACAAAAATAAAACATTCATATAACTCATTGTGTCTCTCTCACATCTCTGGGAGCAGCCATTTGAAAGCAAGATGATTATCAGCATGCAGTTAAGAAGTTACCATCTCAATCTCCTCATTACCTTGTATAATTATGTATATATAAGATTTATATGTATATATATATATATCTTGTGTTATCATGTACTAATTCAAGGACATTCAACCAATAACTATAATGTAAGTACAGTAATTGAATCTGTTTTCTGCCAATTAACACAATTGGATATAAATTAACAGACTTAAATTCACAAAAAAAGCAGCATTGTAAACTAGATGAATAACAAAACTGTATAATTAATTAAGAAAAAGTAGTGTAAATATTTTAGGATTAATTATACTCTTGTTCTTATTTGTAACATTGTTTCTGTGCATTTAAGTCCATTAATTACAGTATGTAAGTTGTGACATGCAGGCTTTACATCACTGTAATAATTGAAAAAGAACAATATAGTTTTATAGTGAATTGTATATTAAATCCTTTACCGAATAAATAGCACATCAAATTGTGTGACCTAGAATTAGGAAATCAAATGTATATTATTTTTGAGAATGTTTAAAAAATAATTGAAAACAATTTCTTATCTTTTATTAAATGCTTAACCATTAATACTTGAATAAATATATCAATTTTGAGTTTGATCATAAGAATAATATATAGTTGAGTCCACTTATAGGAAACTCCGATATTAAAAACACCTGCTCAGTAGAAACCAATTATCACCCTGCAGTGAGAAGAGTTTTTTTTTTTTTTTACTTTGTGAAAAGTGTAGAAGAAAGTTTGTGGTTCATGTATCATTTCAAAAGATGATACAGTAGAGCGTCGATTTTCCTAAAGTCAATCATCCGAAAGTTTCCAGTCAGCAAATTTAAATTTTCGCCAGTGCTGTGGCGCTTCAATCTTTGGCTATGTCTTGGGTTACTCAAATATTTTACGTTTTTGATACTAAATTAACATCTGAAGTATAATTTTTTATTATTTTTATATTTTTCAATATATTTATTTTGTTCGTACAAAATAAAAAATAATTTTTAACGATATATAATAGATATATTTAACGATAATAGTCTTTGTTAGAATTAACATCGACGAAAATTCAACGCGAAGCGACACGCAACGGAGAAAAATTTCGACATCGGATACGTTAAACTATTTTTTCGTACGTAAATCAGTTATCCGAAATATCAGTTATCCGGACAACCCCAGTCCCCAATTGATTCGGAAAATCGACGCTCTACTGTATTCATATTTGATTTAATTTCTAAAATTTATTCCTTTTATTTTATTATTTAGGTAATTTTATCTATATCTATTAAATCGAATAAGTTGTGCAGATAACAACAATTTTAAGTAATTTTTTTCCACCAAGTTTTACATTTTTTTTTTCGATTTTTTAAAAAGTTTTTAAAACGAATATTTTATATAATTTTTAGATAAAATGTTTGATATACTGTATAAAATCGCCGACTCCCTCCCAGGACTGGTTTTGTAATAATTCTCAAGTTCCGAAGATAAGTTCAAACCCGAAATGCATGCACACAAAGGATTAGAGAAATTTAAATGTCTGTAATCCTTTTTTTAAATTATGTAAAATTTTAATATTACGTGGAAGCTTGAAAGCTACTATATAAAATTAGGTCTCTTTTATTTTTAAAATAATGCACTTGGATGTAATAATCCCCTGCTTCGACAGGTTATGGAATGTTCTTTCGATAGAGTTAAATTTCTTGTGTTTTACTCTTGTTGTCATTATTAAATATAGACACACGTCATTATGTAAATATTCTAGTTTATACCATCGAATTGGATTATGATTGTTTCGAGTGAAAATCACACTCGGACTCAGCTGCTAAACGTGCATTGAATTCGCAATACAGCAATGTTTTATTTTAATGAAATGCATTTTTTAAATATTAAATTATTTTTATACAAATTTTATCTACAGTATATTAATATTCAAATTTTACTTCTTTTATATAAAAATTTTTGTTGTATATTTTAAACCCCAGATGTCGCGACACGAAGAACGCTTTCAATATGGCGGCTTCTATGCGGGATGGAAACTGATTTATTTAAAGAGGAATTTAAATATTTTAAGAGTAGGAACTCTCCTATTGACTATTCTAAAGTATTAGATTTTGAGGATGTCGATAGATTTCCGTTTATAATTAAGTATGATGATGTATCAATGAGAAATTTACTCGATAAATCCGAAAGTGTTTTCGAAAAATCGGGAGCATGCCAAACATGTGATAAATTCGGTTTGAAATCACATGATAAATGGAAAATATACGGTCATTCGGAATTAAATGGATTATTTATTATTACAAATCCTTTCACTCCATCGGGCCAATCATTTTGGATACGAAAATGTTTAGAGACTTATCCATATAAACCTAATATTACTAATTTAGAGAAACTTGGTAAAGAAAATGAATACAAAGATTCAGAATATTTAAAAAACTTAAGATGGACGACAATTGGTTATCATCATAACTGGGATACTAAAGTTTATAATAAAGCAAATAGATCACCTTTCCCGGAATGTTTGTACTATTTGATTTATCACATCAGTAGCGTGATAGGAAACAATACTTTCGATCCACAAGCGGCAATTATTAATTATTATCACCTTAATTCTACTTTGAGTGGACATACGGATCACTCCGAACAAGATCTGACATCTCCAATTTACTCGATTAGTTTAGGACAAGATGCTATTTTCCTCATTGGTGGGCGTACAAAAGCTGTTAGACCTTTTTCTATATTTCTTCGAAGTGGAGATGTAATTGTCATGAGTGGTGAAAGCAGACTGAGTTATCATGGTGTTCCAAGAATTTTACAGACTAAGGAAGAAAGATGGACATTTGAAGCCGATACTGAACAGGAATGTTATGGTTCTTATATTAAGAATTCGAGGATAAATATAAATGTTAGACAAGTATTTGCAAAAGAAAAAGAGATGAATGAATAAATTTAATGGGTTTAATATGTTTGCAGTTTGATTTATATGATATTATCTGGTTAAATTTATTATTTTAATTGGTATCCAAGATGAATAATGTAATCTTGTTTTTGTTAACATATAGCAAAATTATGCATTCATAGTTTATAGTATTTTACTACATAACTGTAATAGAAACAAAGATTTTGATTTATCATACAAAATACCGTATTAAATTTTAAAAAACTGTGTTCATTGGTTTGATGAACATAATTTCATAGCATAAAGTATGGTTTGATATCCATATCACAACCGTCATTAAGTTATCATGGTTTATTCTTACAAGTTTTACATGTATAAAGTAAATGTTAAATACATCTATTATTTTAATTAAAAATCTAAGAATAAATCTATTTTAATTCTATTTCTACTGTCAGATAGGAATTGTAGAAGACAGTTTGGTGTTTTCCCTTTCATTACAATACATTAATCTAGTTAAAAGTGAGGCAATAGATGAATGTAAAATTTTAGAAATAAATGAAATTTAAAAAAATAATGAGAATCAGACATACGCATTAATCCTGCTTCTGTTATCGTAGAGCAAAATATTCTGTGTTCATTGCGAAATTTGACATTTTACTACAAGATAACAGAAACAAAATCTAGTGATAATATCTTATTTGAAAGTAAAATTTATTTAAATTCATGATATATAATATTATATAACAAGTGATTGATCAGTTTAATAAAACGATTTTGATATTTAATTATATGTTTGATCAAATAAATTTATTAATTTTATGGAAACAGCAATATTTGAAGATATTTGGAATCGTAAACAGTATAACTATATAATACAAGTTTGACAAATTGCTGTTTTCATGATTCAGGAGGTCAAGTATAGAATTCTATCAACGAACTTATATGGCATTCCCTATTTATGAAATTTGAACCAGTTTTTTCTTTTGTTTTATGTTGGACGACTCTTGAACTACTTATTCAAATTTGTGGAAAAACAAAACAGTTTTCCGGGAACCCTGGCGTGACCCGTTGCGAAGCGATCGTTTTGTCGACCATTCACCTTCATCAGTGCATAAAACTCTGATCTGTCCACTCATGTATACAGATATTTCCGTCCCATTAACAAAAAAAAGAAGTTTCCCGTTTATAACTAAATTTATTAATTTAATATTTGTATCAAAAGTTCAACAAAAGTCTTTGCTGTTCATGTAATATGATATCTGTTGCAGCGTGCTTCTTTAGAATAAATTTTAAAATCTGATTTAGTACTTACCAAATTCATTTAATTAATAAAGTGTTTAATGAGTAAAATGGATTCTTATATTTGTGGAAAATAGAATTAATTACAGTTCTTGGCAGGAAACATGTAACATGTACCATTAAAATATATACGATTAGGCTATATCGATACAATTTTACCTTATTTACAATATTTGAAATCTAAATACCATTTCAATATGAAAATTATGTCCAAAATGCAAGAGACTTTTCTTTACGGTGAATTTTTATAGATAATATCGTACAAGAAATGTTATACCATGTTTCTAAGCGTGCATCTAGTTTTCTTTTATGAACAAAGGTCACTTTCCCAAAAATACAGGACGATACCGGACTTCCCAACTGTCATATAAATGCCTTCCTGTCAAGCCTTGTGTTAGGGTGGAGGCAAAATAAACGGAAGTTATTCGGACGTGTGAAGTGATGCAGTAGATGTTTCCTGCGCTGACGTCATTATTGATCAAATAATATCGATGCGAAAGAGTGGATCATATCAGAAAAAACGTTTCATCATGAAGCACTATAGTTGGCATTATGCTCTTGTAGTATGCATCAATTTGGTGCTAGTGGCAATTATTGAAGCTGGTGTAGTTAAAAGAAGCCCAGAGGTAAGAATAAAATTAAATGATTTTATTTATTCTGCACTTTAATTTACGTATTTCTGATTTAATTGTAGGAACACGTACCTCACAATAGCCAACCAGGATTTAATGAAGAGTTATATCGAGAAGAATTTCCTCCATTGAGAGGTATTGATCCTGTTCTTCCTCCTCATTTGCATTATCTCGAAGATCAAACTTTTAAAGAACGACGTTTGATCGATGATATGGATGACAAGTTCTTTGCAATGGATCCTGTTACTGAAGTAAGGAGAAACATGCCTCTAAGTACTTCGAACCTCGCTGCCAATGATACCATTGAATCAATTACAGAGGCATTCACGTCGACTACAGAAAATATCTTTATTAATAACAGATCTTCATCTCAATTAACTTCACTTTCGGAAGATAAAACAGAAAAAAATTTGTATTCTACACCATCAAGCGAACACAAAACAAGAAACTCTAGAGAAAACTCTCCACATCTCCTATTTCCTTCTTATCAGAACGATACTTACGAACAACAGGAAAAAGTACAAGAACTAATGGAAGAAACTAGAACCGGGACTAAATTGGGCAGGCGGGCTAATTCCAATATCTATTTGGATCCATTCAATCAAAATAAGTTGGAAAAACCTACTAGTTCGGCCGAATCTTTTAGTTCCACTTCGTCTACGGTTGAAAATTCGACATCAGATGCTCAAGAAGATGTTGTGAATAGTTTTATGAACCGGATCCAAGACCACTGGGTGAGATTTGTCCAGCAAATGAAACATTCCGTGATGGACGTTTGGCAGACAATAAATAACAGGATCATGAATTCGCTGGAGAATTTCTCTATTACAAATAGCAAGTAGTTTCATATTATTTTAAGGTCAGAAGTTCAATGTAATTGTAATCATATAAGTGTCTTAAATATAATAATTGTTCTTTGTCTCCCAATAAAAATATAAAGTTTAAAACTTTACTATTTCTTTTATATACAAAGTACTCATCTATCTGAAAATTGGTAAATTTATCTTTGTTTCTTAATCCTACAATACAAATTTTAGTTAGTAAATTAGTCTATTATCAATAATATAATACATAAACTTTGAATAAAGACGTTCTGAGCCACTTATAATACTGCATATAAAAACGATGTACTTATTATTAAGAATCGATATCTACTGTTAATATTTTTCAAAAATTTAACTAAAAATTAATTACAGTAGAGCATCGATTATCCGACTCAATTGGGGACTGGGGTTGGTCAGATAACCGAAAAGTATGAAAAAATCCATTATTAGTGTAGTATATTATTATATCCCATGTAATTAGTATATTAGTATATCGCTATTAACCTACAGCNTAGAAATTCAACCTAAAATCTAAATCTATTTTGAAAATTAAAATTGCTTAAAATTAACATGTTTGAGTGATATTTAAAAATATCAATTATTATTATTTCTAAAATTATTGATAGCTATAGTAAAATCACCATTAGCTGGTGACTTCATTACTATGCAATGCAAACAATTTTTGGAAGAAAGTCAGATTGAAGTAATTCCACCTTACATGATTTCATCAAAAGTGAGTTTTATTTCCTAAACATTGTTAGTTATTATATATCTTTATTATATATAACTTTGTTTTAGTATGTAATTAAATCTTACAATTTAATATAAATGATTTGTAATAGTCTTTAAATTTTAGAATAAAATCTTACACAATTGTGATTGTTTTGTGTAAAGTAGATTGAGCTATTTAATAAAGGAAACAATGCCCCTTTAACAGTTTGTAATAGTTGGGAGAAATGCAAATGTTTTTGATTAGTCAATGGACCATCTTCGGAGTAGGTCTACATCATCTCTAGTTTCACATATTCCAAAACTCTATAACCTCTTTTCAGATGTATTACCTGTAATAACAGGAAATGTATGACACTTTGGTGCAATCCAACTATTAGTTACTACACAATCATAAAGACTCCCTGGATGATGAAGAGGTGAAATATATGTTATTCCAGCCAAAAATGAAAAAAATTGGCATCAATACAGCATGTGCTTGTTTTTCATGTAGGTCTCTCAACCAGAGCTCATTGAACTCAAGGACATCATCAATAGTAGAGGAACCATATTTTTTTTATCTTTATTCACTAAACATTCTGGAACTGAATTAGATTAACAGACATCCAAAGTCATCAAAAAATATCCTTCACCTCTTTCACACTAATTAATAGAAAGCTGTGAAATCTTAAAGAACATCTTTATTAACATGGACCTGTTTAAGAAAGACTTACCTACCCTCCTGTCTGGCATTTTCTCCTTAATCTTTCACATCATGTGCTGATGTAATAGTCTACTATTACTAGTTTGTTTACCTATTATATCTTTCTAATCACATGGTTTTTTTTTTCTTTCATCCTGAATAAATACCTTTAACTGGGTTGAAAACACATATTTTTCCAAATTGTTACCTATTGTTAAAGATGTATTATTTGCTTTATTTTATCTTTATGTTAAATATAGGAATTATTTTTTCTTGAATGATATTATAAAGATATTTTTATAATTTCATAAAGGAAGTTGTTAAAGAATCTGAAACTGCTAAATGGCTTAGAAAGAATAATATACCAGAAGTGACTAAATCATGGCATAATTATATGGTGAAGGTAAGATTATAAAAATAAAAATTTTTATATTAATAAAATGTTATAGCTCATTGACATTGCTATTTTAGGAAGTAATACAAGATTTTCAAAGTTCAATTTTACAAGTTTATGATTCTCCATATGAAAAAGAGTATGTTTTTATTTTTTAGCATACTATAATAATATATCATTTATTCTTTTTTCAAATTAAATTAACAATGAAAGTGTGGTTTTATTTTTTATCTACTTAATAGGTCTGTTGATAATATGCCAACAGTTCATTATGAATTTCCAAATGGTTACAATCAAGATTTTGGTTCTGAGAGGTTTTTAATACCTGAAGCTCTGTTTGATCCTACAAATATAAAGGTAAAAGATAAATTACAATCAAATTAAAAATGTGATAATTCTTATTCTAAATTTTTAAACTTTGTTAGGGTGTGCCTGGCACAACCATGATGGGAGCAGCTCAAGTAGTTACAACAAGTGTAGGAATGTGTGACATAGATGTTAGACCAGTGAGTTAAATAATCTAACATTAAAAAATTTATTTTTAATGGTTTAAATGGCCACAATTAAATTTTCATTTATAGTGAATGACATTTCATTAAGCATGATAAATTATTTTAATAAAAATGAGCCATAATATCCTTCATAAAATTCCTATTATTATAATAAATTAATTTAAAAAGAATTTATAAAATATATAAGAATACAATCTAAGTATTAAGTGCTGTTATTATTTTAAATAGAGTTTATATGGAAGTGTCATTGTGACTGGTGGAAATACTTTGATACAAGGATTCACTGAAAGATTAAATAGAGATCTTTCAAATAAAACTCCACCAGTAAGTCCAAAGTAATCTTATTTAATTCTCATAATCGTATTTTTTTAAGTATTAAATAAATGAAACAATTGCAGAGCATGAGGCTAAAAGTTATAAGTGCTAATGGCACTGCAGAAAGAAGGTTTGGAGCATGGATTGGCGGTTCCATATTGGCCTCATTGGTAAGAATTTTAATGGATCATTAAAATTAATTTTATTCATTCAAAAGTAGCATAAACTAGAATTAAAAAATATTCACTTTCATTATAAAGTATTTTACAGTTAAAAGTTGTAAATGTCTTAAATTTATATTTTCTGTATAAAAATAAATTATTGCATAGAAAATTAAGAATATATGAATGAAAATTTATTGTTTTTCAGGGAACTTTTCAGCAAATGTGGATTTCAAAACAAGAATATGATGAGGGCGGTAAAACTCAAGTAGAAAGAAAATGTCCTTGAAATGTGCTGTTTATACATTTAATATTATTGTCACTTCAAAGTCATTATCATTGTCATCATCATCATCACCATTATCATAATCATGACATCATTAAATCCTCTATTTCATTTCATCTCATAATTTTAAAAATTTCATTATGAGAATAAGGAAAGTGGAATATTGTATAACAATTTTTTTATGTTTGAATAAAATGATAAAACTGAATTTTTGTTTTTGTATAAACAGTTTTATGCTATAAATTATTATGTATAATTAAAACTAGTTGATTATCTATACCAATAAGTCAATGATTTTGTTGCAGAGTGTATTTTACATAATTCTAAAAGAAGCTTCCAAAACTTCAAAATAATACATCAAAAAAATCACAGAAGTCATATTTTATTAGAGGATTATATATTAATAAACATTCAGACCTGAGTTCTTTACTCAACTTTAGGAATATAAAGTTAATATAAACTTTAAAATATCACAGCAGAGTTGAAAAAGTTCAAAGAATTTTTAAAATTGTTTTAAGCTTTATGATTTTATTCTTGTTCTATTTGATTGACGAAAACACCTTATAAAGTTTTATCTTTTTGAGTCTTGTAGTATTTTAGTGTTTTTGAAGCATTCCTGAAGATGAATGAAGAACTTAAAATTTAGGCTGAATGTACAGTGCATTTCAGAAAGACTTATATCTCTAGTCTTAATAGATATAGAAGCTTATATCTCTAGTCTTAATAGATATAGAAGCTTATATCTCTAGTCTTAATAGATATAGAAGTTTGATATCTCGAAATAATATTTTTCAAGATATCAAACTGTGTTTCTAATTTTGTAACTTTAAAATTTCAAGTGGTAACTTGTAGCATGTTTTTTTTTTTTAAGAATTTTTAATGCTGAATTTAATATTGCAGTTAGATTATCTAATTGAAATGTCAAATTTAACATTAAAAATATATTAATAAAAGGACTAAGAATAAAGAATGGTTAAAGTTAGTCCATTGGGAATTTTTTTTGTAAATTTCTAAGTTCATTAAAAATATATTTTGTATCTATCTATTAAATTACTTTTATTTGTAAATTCTATAAATGATTTTTTGTAAATATTTTCTGTCAGTTGTTTTAAAATTTGTTCTACAGTAATTTAAGTCTTTATTATTTTATTTGAATATATTTTTATAATTAAAACTAGTTTATTTTAATTATTCATAATGATAATATATTAGAATATTTTATCAAGCTATTAGAACTTCTAAAATATGTAAAAAACAAACTTTATCAAACTTTATATATTTCCTTCATGATTTTTTAAAACATATATAAAGTCTGATTGTATATATTTGTGTATATGTTACTGTGAATGTCCGAAATGGGAGGAATGTCAACATTCTCTGGTAAATGTCAACATTCACACATTTGTATGTGTTGACATTCACCGGCAAATGTCCACATTCACAAATATTGGTCTTTCACAGTAACATATATATATATACAATAGAATCCCAATTAATCAAGATCCATTTAACCATTATTAGAGGCAAATTGTGGAAGAGTACTGTGTTTATAAACACATGGTAATATAATTCAGCACAATTCATTTCCCAAATCTTGGTTGGGTAGCGAAGATTTATCAAATATCAAACTCCTATGTATTTATTGAAAAAGATTAGAAAAGGACTCTAGAAGTTTCAAAAATAAATTATTCTGAGTACTTTTCACAAACAATATTAATTTTGAAGGATTAGAGAAATTTGTAATCTTATATTTGCTTTAATAAAAATATAGCTGTAAATAAAATTAAGGTTTATTTTATTATATAATTTAAAAGTCATTACAGTTAATAAATAGGTTTAACTTAGCATATATTGTACATGTTAGTGCATTCAAATCCAGTTCATTTAATAAATTATGAAACATTCTGTATTATCTGAGTTTGATTATCTTCATGTATTTTTGAGTACAAAAATAAAACATTCATATAACTCATTGTGTCTCTCTCACATCTCTGGGAGCAGCCATTTGAAAGCAAGATGATTATCAGCATGCAGTTAAGAAGTTACCATCTCAATCTCATTACCTTGTATAATTATGTATATATAAGATTTATATGTATATATATATATATCTTGTGTTATCATGTACTAATTCAAGGACATTCAACCAATAACTATAATGTAAGTACAGTAATTGAATCTGTTTTCTGCCAATTAACACAATTGGATATAAATTAACAGACTTAAATTCACAAAAAAAGCAGCATTGTAAACTAGATGAATAACAAAACTGTATAATTAATTAAGAAAAAGTAGTGTAAATATTTTAGGATTAATTATACTCTTGTTCTTATTTGTAACATTGTTTCTGTGCATTTAAGTCCATTAATTACAGTATGTAAGTTGTGACATGCAGGCTTTACATCACTGTAATAATTGAAAAAGAACAATATAGTTTTATAGTGAATTGTATATTAAATCCTTTACCGAATAAATAGCACATCAAATTGTGTGACCTAGAATTAGTAAATCAAATGTATATTATTTTTGAGAATGTTTAAAAAATAATTGAAAACAATTTCTTATCTTTTATTAAATGCTTAACCATTAATACTTGAATAAATATATCAATTTTGAGTTTGATCATAAGAATAATATATAGTTGAGTCCACTTATATTAATTATGATTGAATTGTT